TGCACCTGCTGCTACAGGTGCGTGTGTGTGTCTGCACCTGCTGCTACAGGTGCGTGTGTGTGTCTGCACCTGCTGCTACAGGTGCGTGTGTGTGTCTGCACCTGCTGCTACAGGTGCGTGTGTGTTGTGCGAGGGCTGTCTGGCCTGTCCAGTGATATATTGCCTACAGTGACTCTCTCAGCTCGGACCTGCAGCGTGGAGCCTGGAGAAGACCTCAGTCCCTGTGTTCGCCGATGATGAGGTGGAGCTGCTGTTCACCGACACTGCGGTTTATTCGAGGTGACCGGGGCAGTTGGGGCTCGGTGGGGCACAGGCGTGTTTATTGCTGAGGAGGATCTCGGCCCCAGCAGGCAGGGAGGGGTCAGGAGGGCTGTGGGACGGGTGGGGGGGATGGGAATGTGGGAGCTGTCCCCCCATGTTGTGGGGGGAAATGGGACCAGGCAGCCAGGGCTGTACCATGCAGGAGAGGGCGCCCCCCCAGACCTGCAGTTCAGAGGACAGGGGGTGTGCTTGACCTGGTCAGCACAGGAGGGGACAGGGTACCCCATCAGCACTGAAGGGCACGAGGCGCCAGGCAGGTGAGTGCAGACCAGGTGAGTCTCTCCTTCACTGGCTGTCCCTCGCAGGCGACGCTGGTCTTGCATGATCGGGGCTGATCGGACCAATCTGGGATCCGCAGACTCCGAGGGGACAGAGTAGGAGTCGTCTCGGGGAGACATCCAGGGTGTCCCGATCTCCTGCCTGCTGGAGCCTATAAGGATGACTATGACGATGAAGAGCTTCAGGTGACCCTGATTCAGGCTGCTCCTTAGAGACGAGCTCCAGGCGGAGAGCCAGTGGACTCCTCCTATCGGGGCTCCAGGGGGTGACTCTCAGGGCTGTGTCCTGACCTCCTGCTGTCTCTCGCCCACAAGGACATGGTCAGTGTGCTGTTGACCCTACACTCTCGTACCCGAGTCCAACACCAGCCTCCAGCACGAGCACAAGGTCAGGTTAGTCCTGTCACTCCTATATCACACTCGGGGCATGAACACAACCCTGCTGGTGAGGGAGGAGTGCTGGTATCATTTTAAGTGCCTTGATTTAGTACTCTAATCAAGAAGTGTTCTAGTTTAATTCACAGTAACACTATTAGTAGGACTGTTCCATTAGCAGTACGTGTGTCAGAAACAGTTATTTTCAGCAGGAGCAGGACTCGTTGGAGCAGTATTGCTGTTATTTTCCTGCTGTTGGGAGAGGGCCCCCCCCATACATAATTATGAGAAACGGGTTTAAAAAGCTGCCCCTGCACACGATATGAAAAGGAAGGTTTCAGTCTCTGGTCAGAATTCAGCTGGTGGATTTTAAATATTTAGGGCGCTTCAGCTGTTGTGTCTGTGATGCGTTTGTGAGCGTTGGTGGTTTCATTTTACTCTAGAAATGTTCCTTTTCCGAGATAAGAAGCAACATTATTTTTTGCAAGCTTTTAATAATTAATAATAATTGCTTTCACTTATATAGCGCTTTTCTGGACACTCCACTCAAAGCGCTGTACAGGTCATGGGGAATCCCACTACCGCCACCAGTGTGCAGCCCCCACCTGGGTGATGCGACGGCAGCCATAGTGCGCCAGAACGCTCCCCAC